AATCTCAGTTCTGTACATCTGCCTATATTCTTTGTGATAGTGCTTACCTTTTTCACAGATAAGCTTCCTCCTTGCCTTTCGAAGCATCTTTTGGGCAAACTTCTTTCTCAGGCACTTGACCCTTAGCTCTGCAAAATTCCTTTGCTTTTTCTTAAGGGTTTCTGGCACAGGAGGAACCTCTCTTTTTCTTTTCTTCAACACCCTCAATGGTTCCAGCCAGAAAAGAGTTTTTTTTTTTTTTTTTGAAACAGTAAAGTCGATAAACCATTTGGTAGACTAATCACAAAAAAAGAGAAAAGACCAAAATAGAATCAGAAATGAATAGGAGACATTACAACTGATACCACAGAAATACAATCATTTAACGCCATTACAGGGGCCAGGCACAGTGGCTCACACCTGTCATCCCAGCACTTTGGGTGGCCAAGGTGGGAAGATCACTTGAGGCCAGGATTTCAAGGCCAGCCTGGGCAATATAACAAGACCCTGTCTCTACAAAAGAAAAAAAATATTAGGTGGGTGTGGTGGTGTTTGCCTATAGTCCTAACTACTTGGGAGGTTGAGAGGTTGAGACAGGAGAATTGCTTGAGCCTGGGAGTTTGAGGCTTCAGTGAGCTATGATAGTGCCACTGCACTCCAGTCTGGGAGACAGACCAAGACCTTGTCTCAAAAAATAAGATAAAATAATAAAATAAAATAATTGAAAATAACCATTACAAACTATACTCCAATAAATTAGAAAACCTGGCATAAATGGATAAATTACTGGATACATACAACCAACCACAGTTGAACCAAGAAGAAATAGAAAACGTAAACAAATGAATTATGAATAACAAGACTGAATTTGTAATAAAAAAGTCTCCCATCAAAGAAAAGCCCAGGACCTGGTGGCTTCACAGCAGAATTCTACAAAATAGTTAAAAAATTCATATCAATTTTTCTCAAACTCTTCCAGAAAATTGAAGAGGAAGTTCTTCCAAACTCATTCTATGAGGTCAGTGTTACCATGATACCAAAACCAGATAAGGACACAACAAAAAAAGAAAACTATAGGGTAATAGCTGAGGAACATGGAAGCAAAATTCCTCAACAAAATACTAGGAAACCAAATCTAGTAGGTCTTAAAAAGATCACTCACTATAATCAAGTGGGGTTTATTCCAGGGATGCAAGAATTGTTCAACATGTGCAAATCAATGAACATCATATGTCACATCAACAGAATGAAGGAAAAAATTACACGATCATCTTAGTAGATGCAGAAAAAGCATGGGATAAAATTTAACAACCCTTCATGATAAACACTATCAACAAGTTAAAGAAGGAATGGACCTCAACACAGTAAAGGCCATATGTGACAAACCCACAGCCAACATCATACCAAACGGAAAAGTTGAAAGCTTTTTCTCTAAGATCTGGAAGAAGACAAGGATGCCTACTTCACCATTCATATTCAACATAGTACTATAAGTTCTAGCCAGAGGAGGCAAGAGAAAGAAAGAAAGGACATCCAAATTGGAAAGGAGGAACTCAAAATTGTCCATGTTTATAGACAACATGATATTCTATATAGAAAATCCTAAAGCTCCACCAAAAAACTCTTAGAACTGATAAGCAAATTCAATAACGTTGCAGTATATAAAAATGAACATGCAAAAATCAGTAGCATAGGTGTACATCGGTTGCCGTAACAACGGCCCCGGAGTCCGTCGGTTATGGCCTCCAACTTTAAGAAGGGTAACATGGCATCAAGTTTCCAGCGTAAAAGGATGAGTCCTAAGCCTGAGCTTACTGAAGAGCAGAAACAGGAAATCCGGGAGGCTTTCGATCTCTTCGATGCTGACGGAACTGGGACTATAGATGTTAAGGAACTTGAGGGCCCTGGGCTTTGAACCCAAGAAAGAAGAAATCAAGAAAATGATAAGTGAAATTGATAAGAAAGGGACAGGGAAAATGAATTTTAGTGACTTTTTGACTGTGATGACTCAGAAAATGTCTGAGAAAGATACCAAAGAAGAAATCCTGAAACCTTTCAAGCTCTTTGATGATGACGAAACTGGGAAGATATCATTCAAAAACCTGAAATGCGTGGCCAAGGAGTTGGGTGAGAACCTGACTGATAAGGAGCTGCAGGAAATGACTGATGAAGCTGATCGAGACGGAGATGGAGAGGTCAATGAGCAAGAGTTCCTGAGCATCATGAAGAAGACCAGCCTGTATTGAGATTGGTGTCTTTTCTACCACAAGCACACGTGATGAGATGTAGTGCCTGCCATTGTGTGAAATCCGGCTTTTGAGAACATAAACTTTTTCCCTCACTGACCTCCCTGTATAACTTTAGTAGTGACCTTGGATCTATTTTAGACTTTTAGAAGTGTTCTTTGATATTAAAGTTCCTTGTAAAGTGAAAAAAAAAATCAGTAGCATTTATAGGTACCGACGATGAGCTAGCAGAGAAGTTAGGAAAGCAATCCCATTCACAACGGCTACAAAAATAAAATAAAATACCTGGGAATATCATTTAACCAAGGAGGTGAAAGAACTCTACAAGAAAAACTACAAAACACTGATGAAAGAAATTGAAGAGGACACAAAAAAATGGAAACACATTCCATGTTCATGGATTAGAAGAATTAATATTGTGAAATGACCATGCTACCAAAAGCAATCTACAGAATCAATGCAATCCCTTTCAAAAGACTAATGATATTCTTCACAGAAATAGGAAAAACAATGCTAAAATTCACAGGGAACCACAAAAGACCCCAAGTAGCTAAAGCAATCTTGAGCAAAAAGAACAAAGAACACTACAGTCTGCAACCCCCCCGGCTGTAGACCGGACCAGGCGATGGCCTGCTAGGAACTGGGCCTCACAGCAGGAGGCAAGTGAGAGAAGCTTCATCTGTGTTTACAGCTGCTCCTCATTGCTTGCATCACCACCTGAACTCTGTCTGCCTCCTATCAGATCAGCAGTGGCATTAGATTCTACATTATAGTGAGTTGTATAATTATTTCGTTATATGTTACAATGCAATAATAATAGAAGTAAAGTGCACAATAAATGTAATGTGCTTAAATCATTCTGAACCAACATTCCCTGCCCGCCCCCGTCTGTGGAAAAATTGTCTTCCATGAAACCGGTCCTTAGTGCCAAAAGGTTGGGGATTGTTGCACTAACAGACTTCGAAATATACTACAAATCTATAGTAATGAGAACAGTGTGGTACTTACCTAAAAGTAGACACATAAGCCGATGGAGCAGAATTGAGACCTCATAAGTAATCCACATATTTACAGCCAACTGATTTTCAACAAAGGCACCACAAATATTCATTGAAGAAGGGACAGTTTCTTCAATAAGTGGCGGTAGGAAAACTGGATATCCATATGCAGAAAAATGAAACTGGACCCCTATCTCTCACCACATCAAAAATCAAGTAAAAATGAATTAAACACTTAAATGTAAGACCTGAAACTACTAGAAGAAAATAGGGGAAATGTTTCAGAACACTGGTCTGGTCAAAGAGAGAAAACCTCAAAAGTACAGGCAACAAGCAAAAATAGGCAAATGGGATTATAGCAAACTAAAAAGCTTCTGCATAGCAAAGGAAACAATCATCAGAGTGAAGAGACAACTTGCAGAATGGGAGAAAACGTTTGTGAATTATTCGTCCAAAAGGGGATTAATATCCATAATATGGAAGAAACTCAGAACTCAACAGAAGAAAAGAATTTGATTTAAAAATGGGCAAATGAACTGACTAGACAGCTCTCAAAAGAGGACATACAAATGGCCAACAGGTATATGAAAAAATGCTGAACATAACTAATCATCAGGAAAATGCAAATCAAAAATGCAGTGAGATAGCATGTCACCCCAGTTAGAATGGCTATTATGAAAAAAGACAACAGATGCTGGTGAGGACGCAGAGAAAGGGGAACTCATATACTGTTGGTGAAAATGTAAATTAGTATGGGCATTATGGAAAACAGTATGGAAGTTCCTCAAAAACTAAAAATAGAACTACCATATGATCCAGTAATTCCATTACTGGGTATATATCCAAAGGGAAAGGAAATCAGTATGTTGAAGACATATCCGCACACCCATGTTTATTGCAGCTCTATTCACAATAGTCAAGATAATGGAATCAACCTAAGTGTCCATCAACAGATAACTAGACAGTGTGGTATATTTATAGAATGGAATACTATTTAGCCATAAAAAAGAATGAAATTCTGTCATTCACATTACGTTAAGTGAAATAACCCAGGCCCCCAAAATAAATGCCACACGTTTTCTGCATATGTGGAAGCTAGAAAAGTTGATCTCATAGAATTAGAGAGTAGAATAGTGGTTACTAGAAGTGGACAAGTGTAAGAGGGTGGGAATGATAGCCAAAAGTTGATTAACAAATACAAATTCCAGCTAGATAGGAGGAATAAGTTCTAGCATTCTGTAGCACTATATGGTGACTATAGTTAACAATTTATTGTATATTTTCAAATAGCTAGAAGAATGGATTCTAAATGTTGTTAACAAAAAGAAATGATTAATGTTTTAGGTGATGAATATGCTAATTATACTGACTTGATCATTATACATTGTATACATGTATTGAAAAATCACATTTTGTCCCATAAATATGTACAATTATGTGTCAATTAAAAATAATAGAAGCAAAAAAAAAGTTACTTGGTTTTGAGGAGTGAAATTGGGAGGAGAGGAGAGGTGGCTCAGGGGACTATTATTTTTCACTTACTGATCTTTTGGCCCTATATGAATATTTTAAAAAGTGATGAAGTACATGGATGTATTAGTTGTTAAGGTTAAAAACTAGAACAAGCTGTATATTAATTACAAGTTTCTTTAAGGAATATTAGGACTAAAGTGTCCCACATAAAAGGGAGGTAGATATAGAAAAAAGGAAATATTTATCTTTTGTATTTAAAAGGGCTTTTTTTCCTTGTTTATTTGTTTGTTTTGTTTTATCCTAGGGCTTCAAAAACAAACCAAAAAAGATGGGTCACATAAAGCCAGACTTGATTGATGTCGACTTAATCAGAGGTGAGTTCTAAAATTGGTTTGTTTCTTATGCACATTATTATGTTATTTCATAGTGATACTAAAGACTATTTTTTGAAATCTTCCCTATCTGAGGGTATATTTTATTTTCTAAAAGTAGCAGTCTTCTCTCATCAGTCAGGTGTTAGCACTTTTTACCCTTTGCCTTAGTACTGTGTGTCTATATAAATTATATGGTTTTTATAAAGGTGAAGGAGGCCTGAACTGAATATTGAAGGAGGGATCAACCTGGAGACTTGTTGTTATATAATTGAGCTCCCGTCCTAGTGATCGAAGTTAGAAGTCATTACATTTAACAAACATCTAAGAGGGTTTTTTAACGTAACAGGTTGTATGTTGATTTTTTTGCTCTCACTTGTGTTTAATGTAGTGCTACAAGTAGGCATCCATATAGTGTATATAAATGTTTGATGTTTTGTTTTATTGTATGTTTAAAGGCTCAACATTTGCCAAAGCCAAGCCTGAAATTCCGTGGACATCTCTAACTCGGAAGGGGCTTGTTCGAGTTGTATTTTTTCCATTATTCAGCAATTGGTGGATTCAGGTTACCTCTTTAAGAATCTTTGTTTGGCTACTACTGCTTTACCTCATGCAAGGTAATTGGGGGAGGATGGAATAAGCTATGAAAGTTTCTTTTTGCTGCTTTTGCTGCTACAAAGACCTACTGTTCTTACATTTACCCTTTTGTTTGATGGTTTAAGGTACACAGAAATGAAGGGCTTTACACCATTTGGGGATCATCTTAAAATTATTTGCTGTGAGAGAATAAACAAGATTGTCTAACTCTTCCTCTTCTCTTGAATTTCTCTCTACCTGTTTCACTGGCCGTGACTTCTCAGTCTTGTCTTCTGTCTGAGCCTTGAATATTGAATTACCTAAAGGTTGGATCCTGGGTTCTCTTCTGTTCTGTAGGTACTCTTATCAAGCCCTATTACTTGAAATATAATTGATATACTAGTGATTCCCAAATTTATATCTTTAGGCCAGATCTGTCTGCTGCACTTGAGACTTATAAATCTCCCTGCTTGACATTTCTGTATGGAGATTTAATAGGTGTCTTGAACTTAATAATATAAAAAATGGAACTTTTTTTTTTTATTTCAGCATATTATGGGGGTACAGATGTTTAGGTTACGTGTGTTGCCCTTGCCGCCCCCCCAACCCAAGTCTGAGCTTGACGTGTGTCCGTCCCTGGGATGGTGCACGTCGCACTCTTTGTGTATGCATATACCCATCCCCTCCTCCCTCCCCCCTGCCCAACATCCAATAGATGTTATTCTTATATGTGCACTTATGTGTTGATCAGTTAATACCAATTTGGTGGTGAATACATGGGGTGCTTGTTTTTCCATTCTTGGGATACTTCACTTAGTAGAATGCGTTCCAGCTCTATCCAGGAGAATACAAGAGGTGCTATGTCACCATTGTTTCTTA